TTTTTACAACTTATTATTTTTCAAATAAAAAAACTAAGTCGCGGCCATCAATGGCTGGCACATTTTTACGTTCAAGATGATTCAAGTTACCTCTGATTAAAATTTCATTAACTTCCAATGCATAGTATTCGAGCCATTCCACTTTTATTATTATTTTTGAATTTTTTTTTTAATTTTTCCCAACTTATTATTTTTCAAATTAAAAAACAAAGTCGCGGCCATCAATGGCTGACACATTTTTACGTTCAAGATGATTCAAGTTACCTCTGATTAAAATTTCATTAACTTCCAATGCATAGTATTCGAGCAATTCCACTTTTAGTATTATTTTTGAATTTTTTTTTAATTTTTTACAACTTATTATTTTTCAAATAAAAAAACTAAGTCGCGGCCATCAATGGCTGGCACTTTTTTACGTTTAAGATGATTCAAGTTACCTCAGATTAAAATTTCATTAACTTCCAATGCATAGTATTCGAATAATTCCACTTTTAGCATTATTTTTGAAAATTTTTTCAACTTATTATTTTTCAAATAAAAAAACAAAGTCGCGGCTATCAATGGCTGGCACATTTTTACGTTTAAGATGATTCAAGTTACCTCTGATTAAAATTTCATTAACTTCCAATGCATAGTATTCGAGCAATTCCACTTTTAGCATTATTTTTGAAAATTTTTTAATTTTTTACAACTTATTATTTTTCAAATAAAAAAACTAAGTCGCGGCCATCAATGGCTGGCACATTTTTACGTTTAAGATGATTCAAGTTACCTCAGATTAAAATTTCATTAACTTCCAATGCACAGTATTCGAATAATTCCACTTTTAGCATTATTTTTGAAAATTTTTTCAACTTATTATTTTTCAAATAAAAAAACAAAGTCGCGGCCATCAATGGCTGGCACATTTTTACGTTTACGATGATTCAAGTTACCTCTGATTAAAATTTCATTAACTTCCAATGCATAGTATTCGAGCAATTCCACTTTTAGTATTATTTTTGAATTTTTTTTTAATTTTTTACAACTTATTATTTTTCAAATAAAAACACTAAGTCGCGGCCATCAATGGCTGGCACTTTTTTACGTTTAAGATGATTCAAGTTACCTCAGATTAAAATTTCATTAACTTCCAATGCATAGTATTCGAATAATTCCACTTTTAGCATTATTTTTGAAAATTTTTTCAACTTATTATTTTTCAAATAAAAAAACAAAGTCGCGGCTATCAATGGCTGGCACATTTTTACGTTTAAGATGATTCAAGTTACCTCTGATTAAAATTTCATTAACTTCCAATGCATAGTATTCGAGCAATTCCACTTTTAGCATTATTTTTGAAAATTTTTTAATTTTTTACAACTTATTATTTTTCAAATAAAAAAACTAAGTCGCGGCCATCAATGGCTGGCACATTTTTACGTTTAAGATGATTCAAGTTACCTCAGATTAAAATTTCATTAACTTCCAATGCACAGTATTCGAATAATTCCACTTTTAGCATTATTTTTGAAAATTTTTTCAACTTATTATTTTTCAAATAAAAAAACAAAGTCGCGGCCATCAATGGCTGGCACATTTTTACGTTTACGATGATTCAAGTTACCTCTGATTAAAATTTCATTAACTTCCAATGCATAGTATTCGAGCAATTCCACTTTTAGTATTATTTTTGAATTTTTTTTTAATTTTTCCCAACTTATTATTTTTCAAATAAAAAAACAAAGTCGCGGCCATCAATGGCTGGCACATTTTTACGTTTAAGATGATTCAAGTTACCTCTGATTAAAATTTCATTAACTTCCAATGCATAGTAATCGAGCAATTCCACTTCTAGCATAAGTTTTGAAAATTTTTTAATTTTTTTCAACTTATTATTTTTCAAATAAAAAAACAAAGTCGCAGCCATCAATTACTGGCACTTTTTTATGTTCAAGATGATTCAAGTTACCTCTGATTAAAATTTCATTAACTTCCAATGCATAGTATTCGAGCAATTCCACTTTTAGTATTATTTTTGAATTTTTTTTTAATTTTTCCCAACTTATTATTTTTCAAATAAAAAAACAATGTCGCGGCCAACAATGGCTGTAAAATTTTTACGTTCAAGATGATTCAAGTTACCTCTGATTAAAATTTCATTAACTTCCAATGCATAGTATTCGAGCAATTCCACTTTTAGTATTATTTTTGAATTTTTTTTTAATTTTTCCCAACTTATTATTTTTCAAATAAAAAAACAAAGTCGCGGACATCAATGGCTGGCACATTTTTACGTTTAAGATGATTCAAGTTACCTCTGATTAAAATTTCATTAACTTCCAATGCATAGTATTCGAGCAATTCCACTTTTAGCATTATTTTTGAAAATTTTTTAATTTTTTACAACTTATTATTTTTCAAATAAAAAAACTAAGTCGCGGCCATCAATGGCTGGCACTTTTTTACGTTTAAGATGATTCAAGTTACCTCAGATTAAAATTTCATTAACTTCCAATGCATAGTATTCGAATAATTCTACTTTTAGTATTATTTTTGAATTTTTTTTTTATTTTTCCCAACTTATTATTTTTCAAATAAAAAAACAAAGTCGCGGCCATCAATGGCTGACACATTTTTACGTTCAAGATGATTCAAGTTACCTCTGATTAAAATTTCATTAACTTCCAATGCATAGTATTCGAGCAATTCCACTTTTAGCATTATTTTTGACAATTTTTTCAACTTATTATTTTTCAAATAAAAAAACTAAGTCGCGGCCATCAATGGCTGACACATTTTTACGTTCAAGATGATTCAAGTTACCTCTGATTAAAATTTCATTAACTTCCAATGCATAGTATTCGAGCAATTCCACTTTTAGTATTATTTTTGAATTTTTTTTTTATTTTTCCCAACTTATTATTTTTCAAATAAAAAAACAAAGTCGCGGCCATCAATGGCTGGCACATTTTTACGTTTAAGATGATTCAAGTTACCTCTGATTAAAATTTCATTAACTTCCAATGCATAGTATTCGAGCAATTCCACTTTTAGTATTATTTTTGAATTTTTTTTTTAATTTTTCCCAACTTATTATTTTTCAAATAAAAAAACAGAGTCGCGGCCATCAATGGCTGGCACATTTTTACGTTTAAGATGATTCAAGTTACCTCAGATTAAAATTTCATTAACTTCCAATGCATAGTATTCGAATAATTCCACTTTTAGCATTATTTTTGAAAATTTTTTCAACCTATTATTTTTCAAATAAAAAAACAAAGTCGCGGCCATCAATGGCTGGCACATTTTTACGTTCAAGATGATTCAAGTTACCTCTGATTAAAATTTCATTAATTTCCAACGCATAGTATTCGAGCAATTCCACTTTTAGTATTATTTTTGAATTTTTTTTTAATTTTTCCCAACTTATTATTTTTCAAATAAAAAAACAAAGTCGCGGCCATCAATGGCTGACACATTTTTACGTTCAAGATGATTCAAGTTACCTCTGATTAAAATTTCATTAACTTCCAATGCATAGTATTCGAGCAATTCCACTTTTAGCATTATTTTTGAAAAGTTTTTAATTTTTTTTAACTTATTATTTTGCAAATAAAAAAACAAAGTCGCGGCCATCAATGGCTGGCACATTTTTACGTTTAAGATGATTCAAGTTACCTCTGATTAAAATTTCATTAACTTCCAATGCATAGTATTCGAGCAATTCCACTTTTAGTATTATTTTTGATTTTTTTTTTAATTTTTCCCAACTTATTATTTTTCAAATAAAAAAACAAAGTCGCGGCCATCAATGGCTGACACATTTTTACGTTCAAGATGATTCAAGTTACCTCTGATTAAAATTTCATTAACTTCCAATGCATAGTATTCGAGCAATTCCACTTTTAGCATTATTTTTGAAAAGTTTTTAATTTTTTTTAACTTATTATTTTGCAAATAAAAAAACTAAGTCGCGGCCATCAATGGCTGGCCCTTTTTTATGTTCAGGGTGATGAAGGTTAACTTTGATTAAAATTACATTTGCTGCCAATCCTTTGTTTTTGTGCAACGCCACCCTGAGTAAAATTTATTGCCTTTTTACCATTTTTTCAAACTTTTAATTATTTTTTTCTTAAAAAACTGTGATGCGGCCATCGATGGCGGGCAGATTTTTACATTCAGGCATTCAGGATGATAAGGGCTAACTTTTATTAAAATTACATTAACAGCATTAACTTCCAATGCATAGTTTTTGTGCAATGCCGCTCCGAGTAAAATTTATTGCCTTTTTTCCAAATTTTCAAACTTTCAATTATTTTTTCGTTATAAACTATGATGCGGCCATCGATGGCTGGCAGTTTTTCTTGTTCAGGGTGATGAAGGTTAACTTTGATTAAAATTTCTCTAAGTTCCAATGCATGGTTTTAGCGCATTTGTTTTTAAGTTTTATTGTTTTAATTTTCAATATTTTTAATTTCGTGTAAATAAAGTTGCAGCCATCGATTGTTGCCTATTTTACATATTTAAAATTTCCATTAATTTTTAATTGATATTTTTTCAAAATTCGCAAAACAAAAATTTGCAATTGTTGATTAGGCTTAGGGATTTTGCATTATTTTTAGTTTTACCCATGCGTCCCTCGGCTTGATTAATTTTCGTTGTATTTTCTTTTAAATATAATTTTCGTTGTATTTACTTTTAAATATAATTTTTTTAAGACCATTGGAACTGTTTTTCAAATTAGCTTCTGAAATTCCTTCCTCCGTGCACTTTTAGAACACTGCGATTTATTGCTGCGACTTGGTGTATGAGAAGAATATTAGAAGGTCAACTGTAAAAAGTTGCGATAAATACTCACCTCCCCTATGATCCCCACTTTAAAAAATCGGGAATCGATATTCGATACATCCGCCCAAATGACGCGAGTGGCCAATTTCCAGCCAACTGGCTAACTTCCGGCGACTGGCTAGGATTTCTGGCTAACTTCACGATGCTGGTATTTCCGCACTTTGGACTACCGCGCCCCCTTACCGATAAAACCCTTGACAGCTATAGGTGCTAGGTGGTGTTTCTTTGCGCCCGTTGCGGTCCTTGAGAGGCATCAGGGTCAAAAAATGACCGAAAAATCAGAGGGAATACTCAGCCCTTTCGTCTACTGGGCGCAGACAGACTCTGTGGCCACGTTGAAGGTTGACCTCAAGGGTGTGAAGGTAAGATTTTGACACTATCTAATCTGGAAACTTGCTACCAAAATTTTCTACTCTAAGGACCCACAGCTGCGCATCAAAGAGGAGACTGTTGAATTTTCTGCTCAAGGTGTTGGTGCCCAGGGACTTCGACGTTATGCATTTGCCCTTCATCTTAGTGCTGCTGTAGATCCAGATGTGCGTATACTGGAATTGATTTATATGTATTTTTTTTATATATTCTGATTATGTATGAATTATTATACCAGAAATGCTCTCTAAAAGTGACTGACAGGCAAGTCGACTTAACTCTGTGCAAAACAGAAAAAGCTTGGTGGCCGAGACTAACTGCAAAACCTCAAAAACCAGCCTGGCTGAAGGTAAGAATGTTAAAAGTAAAATCTACTGATAATTTGAAATTTTTATGTACAGATTGATTTTGACAAATGGAAGAGCGAGGAAGATTTTGAAGAGGATGAGAAACGAGATGTCCGCCGAGATTTTCCTGAAATATATAACCAGCTTCAAAAGGAAGAGTTAGGCTATAGAAGGGGTTTGCATGAATTCACTTTACATTATTCGCAGGGTGAATAATTATTTAAATTTTATCACAGAGAGCGCCAAGAAGATATATCTGGCAATTTACAACTTGCTCCAATTCATTGGTTTTGCTTACGTACTCATCGTCATGTACGTCAGATATTACAAGAGTGGAGCTGGTAAAATTCAAATTCATTTGCCTCGGACAATTTAAAATTGATTTTATTTTCAGCGTCTATTGACAGCACTTATGAGGTTGTCGGTCCAGCCATGAAGTTTATCCAGCTCATGCAGTTTCTTGAAGTGCTGCACCCCATGTTTGGCTACACCAAAGGCGGAATGCTCACCCCTTTTTTGCAAGTGACTGGCAGAGCAATCGTCCTGTTTGTGATGATTGAAGCCGAACCTAGGATGCAGACAAAGCCTGTCGTGTTTTACCTGTTTGTCGTGTGGAGCGTGATTGAAGTTATCAGGCACTTGCTTCTTATTAATTCCATTGAAAACGCATATATTAAAGTATTTTATCAGGTACCCATACTACATTACTCAACTGTACAACATGGAGAGCTCTTTCCTGACATGGATGCGCTACACAATTTGGGTCCCACTTTACCCTTTGGGATTTTTGTGTGAAGGCGTTGTAATAATAAGGTAGTAATTCGCATCGATCAAAAATTATATATTTTTAATATCTATTGTTCCGATAATTTTCAGAGACATTCCTTATTTTGAAGAGACCAAGAGATTCAGCATTTCTTTACCAAACAAGTGGAACTTTTCCTTTTACCTGCCTACTGTCATGCGTTGCTACCTGCTGTTCCTTTGCCTCCCAAGTAAAATATTTGCTTAAATCAATTATTGTAACTAATGAAAAATAAATTATAGTGCTGTACTTCATGATGAGCCACATGTATAGAGCCAGAGTCAAGAAACTTGGGCCCAAGAGCTGGATCAAAAAATACAACTAAATGATTTGATGGTTTGTTTGCCGTCAAGTTTGGCCATATTTTGATACTCTGGCTGTGAGAGCCGCACTTAATTAATCTTAGAGTCATTTATACCAAAGCTACAATTTGTTATTGATACATTTCAAAGAATGCAGTTATTGTTTATTAAAATTAGAGAAAATTGATTTGCTTTTACCGCTTTTGTTAGTATAAAATGGGTGTGCTTGGTGTTGAAAAATTAATTAGGGTTACCCCTGGATAGCATTGCTTTAAACATGCTTACCTCAGGAGGACTACTGAATCAATTATTCCCGAATTTCTCCAAATAAACTTAAAATCCTGAGTGTGATTCAAACCCAAACAAATTGTCTATTATTTTTTAAATGGTTCTCTAGGTAGAGTTATGCATTATTTATAACAAATTATGAAATCTTTTTTTAAATTTGTGTAAAAATAAAGAATGGATTAGCTACTACAATTAAATAATAATAGAAGACTTATCCACGGCAGTTGGTTGATCAGTACCAATCTGTAAAAAGTTTTGAAAAAACATTTGGGTACATAACTTCTATTACTGTTGATAATCTTGGATAATCTGATATTTTTTGGCAAGGATTATTTAAATATAAACAAATAATATAAAACAGAATAAATAATTTTCTCATTTTAAAAATAAGAGCTTATAATACTGTTGTACTTCATGATGAGACACTCGAGGAGCTAAATTCAACTGGGGCTTATTGGAGCTGAATCAATTCATAATCTCCTGCTCAAATCGATTTAATGTATTTTCAGTCTACGTTTGTGCAAAATATCTATTTAGCAATTTTTATTCATCACATGATAAATTCTACGGTCAATTATATCAATGTCGCAATTTACTAATTCTGAAAAGTTTCTTGTTTTCATGATATAGCTATAATTACAAGCTCGCGGTGATTTAATTTAATTTTGTAATTGTGCCTGGTTGATTCCAAATTAATTATCCACACAGAATTAACTCTACAACAAGCAATAATGAGTTTATTCTAAATGTACACACCCTCTCAGTTTACAAAGGGGATTTTTTTAAATCCAGTCGGTGAAGTGAGCCCTCTTACGGAAATCTCGCTCAGAAGCGTGAGCATAGTACTCTCTGGCAAAAGGATCCCTCCAAGTATCCTCAGGAATGGTGGTGTACACCTTCTCGCCATAGTAAGTGCCCACCTCCCATCCAGGAACATTGGCCATCAAGATGGTTTCTTCATCACGGTTGCGCCTCAACTGTCTCAGCATTCTGATTTTTAAAAATATATGATTAATTAATTATTCTAGTTCAATTCTAAAATACATAGTTGCTTAAAAGAATTTCAAACAAAAATTTGTTTCTTTTTAAATCAACAAAATTAATCCATTGCATCCAAGGATCATGGTTGCAGCTGTATGTATTTTTTTTTTTAATAAAACTTAAAGAGCTACTAACTCCCTATCCTTTTCAGCAAGGAGCAATGGTGTAATTGCGAGGGATCCACTTCTCATTTCAATGCGATGTTTCTTCAAACGTTTACTAGATGAGATCCACAAGGCGCATCCAACAGTAGTCAGTCCCACAAAACCAGCGATGAGAGTGACTCCTGAAAAAGTTAAAATTTAGTTTATGTTATAAAACCTTTTGATAACTGTAGAAACAAAAATTATATCTCACTACACTTGGGATACTATAAAATAATTGAACCTGTAAATTGGAGGAGTTTCATTTATTTTGATTAAAAACAAAAAACAATGCAAAATAAAAAAAAAAGTTTTAAATTTCTTAGCCAACTTCTGTGACCATTTAGAGTCGAGATATTTGACCGAACGGCCGGTCAAGGAAGGACGAGTGACATGTCAAAATGAAGTAAATTTATCTTAATTTTTACTAACCATTGAAGTAGGACTTGGCCGGATTCCTGAGGAACGGAATCGACCGATAACCGCCCGGAGGCGGCATGTCCTGCTTCTTGGCAGCGGACGCCATGTTTGGTCTTCTTCAATTTTTGCAGAGAAACAAAACACTGTCGACTGCGGTCCACTTTGGTGCTATGTGGCGCGAAAAGACTGAACGCAGACAGATTTATGCTGCTATCTGACACGAGACGTGTCTGCAGCTCTTGTTCTCTTGTATCATCCGTTTGCATCTTATTCTTAGTTATTCTGAGATACTCGTAATAATTTTTTTCCGGCGGAATTACTTTTTAATAGTTTCACTATAGTTCATTTTCAAACAAAAAATTATAATAATTGCAACTATATTTATTGAATTTTACATTTTTTATCTCTAAATTCCTGTTTTATTTGTCATGAACAAATTTGTAGAATATGCTAAAGAAAACTATTTGAAACCTAACTATTCAAAAACAAAAATGATGAAATTCACAACAGGAGGAAAGGGGAAATATGCAAAGGACGATAAAATAGTGATTGACGGCCATGAAATAGAATATGTAAAAAACTTCCCATACTTAGGAATTTACTTCCAAAGATCAGGTAGAGATTTCACTGAACATATTGCACGGAGAAAGGAAAATGCGCTAACTGCGATGAATATGTATGGAGATTTGAGAAAATTGTCTATTGATTGTGCGAAAAAATTGTTTAATTTGAAATTTGCCCCGATGGCCTCTTACGGTATTGAAATTATTTGGCAACATCTCAGGGAAAAAGATTTTGAAGAACTAGAAAAAGTGAAATCTCGATATTTTAAGATAGTAATGGGAGTTTCAAAATACAACAAAAACACCTATGTGTACAAATTAGTCGATGAGAAATTGTTTGTTACCGATTTGAAAGAAAAATACGATCTCCCGGAGACGGGTAATTATGTCAAGTTCCTTGAGAGCTATAATTCTGAACATGAAAATAGGTTTAATGTGAAATTCAATGACACGCCGGCAATGAGAAATGATGTATGGAAACAACCCTTGTTTGATAAAAGACATGTGTTTTGTCGCTTTGCCATGCACGGCTTTCATAATCAAATCTGTAGCAATAGTTCCGAGCGCCAACAGTGTTTCGAGGAAAGTGATTCATGCGTGTGTTTGCTATGCGGTGAGAAATGCACCCAATATCATCTGGCTGAGTGCAACCACCGAGTGCTTAGCATTAATGACTATTCTAAAAATAAGTGAAAAACTTTGGAAACCCTGTCGCGCAAACTGATAAAATAAATTGTGAATCTTAATTTTAACCTTCTAAGATGTAAGTTGAAAGTTGTACTCAATTGAGTTTTCAATAAAGACCATATATTCCTGTTTTATTTTCACTTTTTGTAAAATAAATTTATAAATAAATCAAGCTCATTTCCTCAACGTCGCGTAATATGCTGGTATCGGTGTGCCATATCTGTTGATCACGTTGGCAGAGGACGCACTCACAAGTTTATTTCTCGTAGCGTCACGTTATTAGTGTAATTGTGTACGAGTTTATAACGATGTTCACTGGCACGTCATTTTGGTTTTGTTTTCCTTGACCTTTGAAAATATCGATTATAGCTCGCAAAACATATTTAAAAGCTGAGAACTTATAACTTATAAGAATAGCAAACAACTCCGGAAAAAGATACCGTGCGTCTATACAGTTGCCGTGGCAACAAAACAACATACGCGCACCGTAATTCTCAATTCAATAAATTAAATTTCCTTCGGTCCCTTCTCGCGGTATCAGCAGCCAGGCATCTGGAGGTTGAGCCGACGAAAGGTGCCTCACCCTCAGGGTCCGCACAGCACAAGTACCAGACGCAGAATGTCAGGTGAGGACGGTGAAGGTGAGGCCCTCATTAATTCTTAATATATGCACCTTTTGCGGCAGTGAAAAGATAATTTTAAATTAAGAAAGGGCAGCTGAATGTAGAAAATACTTTAATAATTTTCCTCAATTTGTTATCAGAAAAATTTAAGAAAATGAATCTAGATTTCCATAGGTTTGTTACAGTTAAATAATTTTAAATGACCGATGTAAATAAAACTCCTGATTCGAGTGATTCGGAAGGAGCAGGGCTGATGCTGTGGAGCATCATCGTTTCTGTTGCTATCGGGAAGACAGCGCGTGTGCATGTGTGTGCGCGAGAGAGAGAATATCCTCTCGGAGCAGCTGTTGTTGGTTTATTTTTTGCCTGGTGTGTGGGCAGGTGAGGCAGGCAGGCTGCGGACACATTCTCGGTCGGCTCTACCTGGGACCGACCCTGGCTGGCAGGTCTGCCGCTTTTTCCAGCAGGACGTATAATATAATGTCCGCTTGCTGAGGCCCTGTTGGGACGCATGCATGCGACCGAAAGGAAATTTAAATTTTTTCCTCGGCGTTTTCCGGTTGGATTGTTTACAACTCGTCTCCCGAGCAGGGGATCAGATAAATATTTTGCCGAAATTGGAGACAGGATGCGGCGAAAACGAGCAATTTGCCGCGATATACCGTGGTTTGGCCCACGCGGGTTGGGCCGTCTTCAGTGTGGAGCACTGGTTTTTTTTTTATTAATATGTATTTCGGTGATTGAGCGTCAAAAGTGGCTAGATAAAAAGTTGGCAATAAATTAAGGCTCAAAACCGCCGTGACCTTCTCCTTGACGAGCTGCTCTCAACTCGCGGCCGAAGAATAAAGGGGGTCGAGGATTTCTTAAAATTGCACATTGTTCAGGATAAATGACTCTCCATGTAAGTCATAATAGATGATTGGCGATTTTCGCCTACACTCGTCCGACGTGCTCATTATTAAAGGTCTGAGAATATGGACAAGAGGAAAAAATAATAAATTGACATTTTTGTATGTTTCGTGCCAAAACTTCGTAGTCCGCGTGTATAAAAATCCGACAGATTTACGGCCAAGCCCTCTTTGTATGTGCTTACAGTTTTATACTCCTCCTTCTTCAGGGTCAGAGTAATTATATCGACCAGAAAAAATAAGGCACATAAAGATATCATTTAATTAATAAGCGACGTTTAATTCGCGCGCCCCACCAATTATATCATTTTCGGCTTTAGAAAAGAGAGTCCAGATCGATCTGACGCGAGTCATGCGAAGTTTGCAAATAATTGATGATGATAAGAGGTTCGTTTTCTCTCTTCAATTTTTTTCGCTATTAAAAAATTGGCCTGCCGTGCCGGACGCCCCGCCCACTTGCCAGGTTTTCTCGAGGGCATCCGACCTGATGTCAGGGCAGCTCACGATATTCTGCTGCTTTTTTATGCGCCTTTTATTTCCATGCTGCTCGTATGTACATCCAATAATTTACCTTGGGCACTCTCATACAGTTCGCAACGAACAAACGAACGCTCATGAACTTGGCAAAAACGCCGAGAGTGTATAAAGTAGCTCTCCGCGACGAAGGGGAATAAACAGGTTTAAAACGTTAATTGTTAACTTTTTATTGAGGCGCCGGCCAGAGATGCATGGGAACTGATCTTGATCAATTGTTGCAGTTTTTTGGAAAAGACGTTAATGATAATTGGAGTAAATTTTGCAATTTTAAATTAGTCTAGTGAAATTATCCTCAGAGACCTCAGATATCCTAATCCATACATAATGAATCATTTTACTTACGGTAATTTATAAACAGCAAAATTGCACTCTGACTATAAGCATATGATTTTTTAATTGTCCATTAAAATATTGAATATAATAAGATTTAAACTAAGATATATAAAAAGAGTATACACATATCATAATATTAATATAGCAATATCCGGAGGTTCAAAATAAATTTCTATCAAACCTAAATGTAGCAATATATAAAGCCACAGATTTTGAAATTATTACAATTTCCGAAGGTTCAAAGAAATCAAAGAAAATTTTATTGTCCTAAATGTAGCCATAGTCGCCGGTTTTGAAATTATTAAAATATGAGAAGGTTCAAAGAAAATTTTTTTCAGACCTAAATGTAGCCACAGTCGCCGGTTTTGAATTTATTAAAATATGAGAAGGTTTAAAGAAAATTTTATTCAGACCTAAATATAGCCACAGTCGCCGGTTTTGAAATTATTAAAATAAGAGAAGGTTCAAATAAAATTTTATTCAGACCTAAAAGTAGCCCTAGTCGCCGGTTTTGAAATTATTAAAATTTGAGAAGGTTCAAAGAAAATTTTATTCAGACCTAAAAGTAGCCATATTCGCCGGTTTTGAAATTATTAAAATATGAGAAGGTTTAAAGAAAATTTTATTCAGACCTAAATATAGCCACAGTCGCCGGTTTTGAAATTATTAAAATATGAGAAGGTTCAAATAAAATTTTATTCAGACCTAAAAGTAGCCATATTCGCCGGTTTTGAAATTATTAAAATATGAGAAGGTTTAAAGAAAATTTTATTCAGACCTAAATATAGCCACAGTCGCCGGTTTTGAAATTATTAAAATATGAGAAGGTTTAAAGAAAATTTTATTCAGACCTAAATATAGCCATAGTCGCCGGTTTTGAAATTATTAAAATATGAGAAGGTTCAAATAAAATTTTTTTCAGACCTTAAAGTAGCCATATTCGCCGGTTTTGAAATTATTAAAATATGAGAAGGTTTAAAGAAAATTTTAGTCAGACCTAAATGTAGCAGTAGTCGCAGGTTTTGAAATAATTATTATATCTGATGGTTGAAATATAATTTCTGTCAGACCTAAAAATTTTGTAAAGTACTTGCTACTCCCATTCATTGTTTAAATAAATTAGAATTTAATAAAATTTTGTTTATCTCTTCACTGGAAATTTTACTAGTGTTTCAGTTTAATATTGTTAGTCTTCAAATAATGATATTTTTTGCCTAATTTTTATGTTGCATTTTTTTATCGTAAATTTTAATGCATGCATAACTAATTTAGTGTAAGCATCCCGCATGGTAGAGCACAATAAAACAGAAAGGCCAGCGCCGGGTTTTCCTCTTGCAATTATCATTTCCAGCAATTTCGCGCGCGAGGATAAAGCTGCAAGATAACCCGCCGCCACCGAGGCGCAGAATCAATTTTTTTCCTCGAGCTCGCTCGGCGCTCACGCAGCATGGATATAATAATATCCTCTTCTCTCTGCACACCCACTTCGTCACTCGAAAATCCCAAGAAGATTCCTCGAAAAATAGGGGAGCAGTCGAGATTTTCAGGGAAGCTCGTTATTCGTTCGCACATATATATAAATTTGATTCGCGCTTATACGGCCTGAACGAAAAATTTCTCTCTCGCCAGCCAACACAGCATCGCATAACGAAACCCTACAAGAAGTTGCTCGCGAGTACGCAACAGATAGAAACGAGAGCTTTTTAAAGTGTGGGAGAGCAGATGAGAGCAAATCCTTTTAACAATATCCAGCCGGCTAAAAATCCAGCACCGGACGACGAAATTTAAAAAAAAATCCACCGTGGTGAATTTCCATTTCCCATACAATAAAATTTTAAACTTCACGCGTGGTTCAGCTCATCGGTGATTTTTTTTTCAATTTCCAATAATTGGTGTGAAACAACGAAAGACTGAGAAAGAAGTAAAGTGGCCGCCTGAGGCCAAGTGCCGGGGTAAGGGGCCGTCTGGTGGCCGCCCCAAGGCCAGGCCGCCTCTCTCTCACTCGTCTGAGGTCAGCAGTCTTGGCTCTCGCGAGAACTAAAGAAAGAAACCACTCGACGAGGTGAGTGAGTGATGCAGGTACCCGTACCGAAAGATTCATCCAGCGGCGGCGGCCTCCGTTTAAAGGCCTTTAAAGACTGGAACATCCCTTCGGTGGGGGAGGAAGCGCAGTGCAAACACAAAGGAAGGGCGGCCTACCACCTCCTCACTTCCACCAGCTAGGACCTTCTACCTTACAGGCACTTCTGGTTTTTGTTATGATAGTGTTCCTCTAAATTAAATACAATAACTACTAAAATAATAGTTGATTAAAATATATAAAATAAAATTTTTTAATTTATTTCTATTAGCAATTTCAGCTGGAAGTGTGATTTTTTTAGGAAGCGCCGTCTTTCTTAATTCTGATTGATGTTTATTCAAAAATTATACCTCTAGTCTGCCTAAGCTCCTCAGATTTCATAATTTTCATTTTCACGGCCATTCTACAGAAAATTGGCGTTTTCCTTGCGTGCGAAATTACATACTCTCCCTTATCTAAAACGAATCAGCAGCTAATCTGCGACGAGATCAACAACCATTCGAGACTCTCATGTCTGGTCGTGGCAAAAGCCGGCGCTTGGCAGCTCTCGTTCTCATAACTCGCAGAAAATTTAACAAGCTCATGGAATAAGAAACACATAATATATCCACGCAGTAGTCAACGCGAAAAGTGAACTATAAACTAATTCTGAGAAATAATAAGCAGTTTGGGGCGACTGACTGACTCCCTGGCCTTCACATATGTCTTAAACCCTTAGATATTTAATTTGTACTTGTTATTATTTATTTATATTATTATTGTTGTTTATTCGTCCAAATGTATGACATGTTTAACATTAATTTAATTATAGCTTAAAAACTTTTAATGAATACTGAGCGGGTTAAAGAAGCGTTACCTCTAATTTTTTTTTTCAATGTACTAAAAAAGCTTTTTTAAAATTTTTATTTCCTGCATATTGAAGTCTACAAATTTGTCAATTCCATAATTTCATAGCGTAAGGTAGGCAACGCGTAGAAGTTAGAAATTATCTTCCATTTTTACGAGTTTTTGGAATAAAATTTTGTAGATTGAATGAAGAAAAGTATAGTTAATTATTTCTAAAATTCTCAAAATAAATGCGACCCACTCGCAAGTTGGTCCCGTTGCCGAGAGGCGAACCATCCATCTCGAACAAGATCTATTCAGTGTGATCGCATTCCTCCGTATATTTTTACCTCTGAAAATAATTCTACCTGAGGCCCCTGTGCAGGGTGCAAACTGAACAACAATATGCCCGGCCGGCGCGCAGACACATGGTGGACGAACCGGCAGCGCATATAATAATACGAAAAGAAAGAAAGAAAACACAGCACGTGGGTAAATGTGCTCCGAGAAGTAAAAAGGGGCTGCTTATAGGATAGGTGGAGACATTCATAAATGAAAAATACTTGAGAACGGACGGACTGGGGTGTTGTATGCGTGCGAGTGTGTGTGTTTGCCAGTAAATGGGCCGCGGCATGCAGCGAGCGAGAGAAATAGGTCTTCTTTCTTGAAAGAAGCAAAAAATGTATTTATTATACCTGCTGCGGATGGAGGCTGCACAGTTTTCATCTCGTCTTCCTCTCTCTGTCAGCAACCCCCAGTGGGAAATGTGCCGATTGAGCGTGGAGAGAAATCATATAACAAACCTCTAGCTCGCTCCTGCCGGCCGATTTAAAGATCTTTAACTTTGGCGGCCTTGGCAGATTCGCTCTTTAAAAGCCCGATTGTTTGTGATGGTTTCTTTTTATTTCGTGCGGTTTCGCGAAAAACCTCTGATGAAGCAAGTGCGTGTGAAATGCCACAATATCCTTTCCTGCCAGCTACTTGTTTCTGACTCATTGAGTGTGAAATTCTCAATTTTGCACCGAATCAAGAAGTGACTTTTTTTGTTTCATTTATAGTTGCACAGGGATTTTTATTATTGCCGTCGACGGCACCTGCGAGTACCTCACAATGGGTGGAAATAAAAGAATGTGCATGAAGTGTCTATTGCCAAGGCGTGGCGTAAAATTTTGCGATGTGTATAATGAAGAATTTTAGTACTTGTAACCGAACCATCAATGAGGCTCCCTCCCACACGCGCTGCCCGCCTTCACGCAGAAATTTTTTGTCCGACTGAAAACGTCTGGACGAATTTTATCCGATGTCTCTACTAGTCTGTACGATTTGGTCAGATAAAATTGTAGTTTTAGAACTTCTAAAAACAAAACGTATGCCCTGTCCGTTTCAGTCGGACAGATTTTTCCAAACGCTGTAAGATCTGATACAGTGTACGGCTTTGCGCTGCTACTGCAGCCAATTTCAAAACTGCTAGAATGTCCGAGTTGGAAACGGACAGGCTATCCAAGAAACCTGTAACCGCGCTTCTCGAGAACAAAGGATAGCCTTTCGGGGGGAGGTTTTGGCGACAGGCAAGCACTCAGGGTCTGGGGATTTTCGATAATTTTCGATATCCCAGGCATTTCTCAGGTTTGAAAACACCAACGGTCACTTCAGCGTCAGTCGAGAGAGCTCTCTTCACAAGGAAAGATCTGTGTTGCGGAGAGAAAAATTGAAAACTCAACGAAAAACTTCTATAATTGGTAAGAAATTTAGTAAAATGAATATAAAAAAGTATGTTGAAATAATTTTGACTCTCTGACTTGCAGAAAATTTCCACATTCTGGCCTCAACTGCGACGCTCGCAAAATGATAATACGTCTCCTGGTGCAAGTTATTATAGAAGAACTAGAAATGAACATCAACTACCAGGTAATATTTTTCAAATTTTTCTCTCCGTTTTATTTTTTTTTTTTTCAATAAATTTAGAATATTATATTTTATAATTTTCTTTCCTTCAAACTTCAAAGCAAAAATTTTAACGTTTATTGTTTCAGAAAGAGCTGCTTGGCTTCACCGTGGATATTTACTACCAGAAAAAAACCCACTAGAGTTTGACATGAAATCTGAGAAAATCAAGCAATCAAAATCATCTCTATAGCTTGGGCACATCTCTGGAAAAGCGCGAGTGCAAGAAGATGAACTTTTCCTCAGAACGTTAAGTAGTACTGTTCCGGCAATCCGGTTTCATTTATTCAGTAAAAAAAAAAATAATACATATACATTTTTATAAATCAATGTGTGAAGCAAAATTTTTCTGTGGTTGTCGTTTTCAAATGCTTGATTTTTCAATACCTCTAAAGCAATTTTTTTTATTGATAATTGTCTCAAAAGTGCTGTGTTATTTTCTCTTTCAAATATGCATATCAAAACTTAATTTCAACAACTTTTGCAGTTTGTTACTTGTATTTTGCTATTTCCTTGTGTTATTTTGTACTTTGTGAATTTTTGTGTAAATAAATATTTCTATACTGAAATTATCCATGCATTATTTACTTGTACCATATATACAATTAAGAAAACGCAAAGAGCAAGAAATAATAAACGAAAGGAACAGAATAGTGAAGTCGGACAATTTGTCCGAGTTGGGTCGTAAGCGCGTTGCGTTCTCCTCTCATTTAATCCAGGCAACCCAACTCGGACAAAATAGGAGAGTTGAAAGCGTACAGAGCTTCTGAGCGCGGTCTCCTATCTCATATGTTTTTCGGCGTAAACATTTTCCGATTCTCAATACAGACAGAGTAACCGCTTTTTTTCTTAAGTCATTTTTTAGCAGTTTGAAATGGACAGACTAGTAGTTAGGTCGGACAAAAAATTTCTGCGTGTTCATTCTAGTCGCAAATTATTTATATTGCTTACTTCTAAGCAGATAAGACAAATGCTCAAGTCTTTTTGTTACCTTGAAAAATAGCATAACATTATTCCGAATACACACGGAACTGGTTGTTCATTTTTCATATAAATAGACCTGACATAGAAATGAGCAAAAGAATATAAAATAAAAAGATTTTTAGTCCCTTTGACATTTTCCTTCCAAAAATTTACCTTTATAGATAGATTTTCACTTGCTGAAAATTGGTATGGTTTTCTGATAAATAGAATAATAAATCAGTAAAAATTATTAATATTGAAATAAATTTCTTTTACAAATTCATAACAAAATTGGTTGCCTTTTATGGAACTCTTTCTCATTAAAAAAATCACAAAACCTTTAAAAAGTATATATCAATATACTACTTATTTCTTTCTTCTGTAAGGAGGGCTATGCAAATTTATGGAAATTATCTATAGTTTATTTTTAAATATTTATATTTTGTCCTCTTATGTAATGATTTAGTTACTAGTTAAAATTTTAATTCGCTTAAATAAAAGTAAATTAATTAAAATTTAATTCATTTTTTTCTCATTGAAATAATCTTAATTGACTTCATTTTTTTTTTTTTTTTTTTTTTGATAACAAAAATATGGCAAAATAGACAATGAATTTGTTTGACGAGGGATGGCCTTACTCCAATTTAAAAGCACTCATAAAAGTCCATATTTTTACGACTTTTGGTCTAATCTGCGAACCGCCTATGGGAGCAAGGAAGCATTAAAATTCCACAACTCTATACTCTACAAGGCTAATGAGAGTAAAAAGCGTGCAGAGGAAACTCGGGATCCGATTATTTTTTTTCCCCAACAAAATCCTGTTGCCATGGAAGACGAGATCATCGACGGGCGAAACAAGTGGTGAAGTGGTGTCGCACCAGTGCGGAGTCTGCACGCAGACCTGGTCTCCGCGGTCGTATGTCTCTTGCTTTTCTTCTCTCTCTCGCATCTTGAAATTCAACTCCTCTGCTCCGGCACGTAGTATGAATGAGCCTGGTGGCACACATGTGGCCCCCACATGCACCCTCACCCACATGAAACAAAAATTTTCGCCGCCGCACAACTATCACCGCCGTGCTCTTTAAAAAGCAAAACCGCCTCCCCACGGCAAGCACTGCAAAATTTCCCAAGTCCGAGCGCCAGAATTCGCTGATTGCGCCGCTTTCGGCCTAAGAGGTGCAGCACCGACACTTATGTATTCAATTCAACACAAGACAGGAAGCCGACACTCCATTTATTTATTATTCACGCACATTTACATCTCATAAAACAATAAAATATCCGAAATATATACAAGACTAACACACAGCGCGTGTTATTTGAATTTTTCTCGAGGGCCCACCGGAAAGTGAAAAAATTGGCCCCTTCCTCTCTCTGATTATATTGATTCGCCTCTGTGTGGTCCACGCGGTTTTGTTGTGCGAAATGAGACCTCTTATTTTCTCGGTGGATTGCGCACAAAACTAAGAGCAATAAATATCCGCGGCTCGCTCTTTATTCGGCGCATAATTTATTGCCCGATTTCAAAAGAGCACCGACGCTGCTCGGTCGGCTCTTGTTGAAATTATTTTGGTGAGGCAACAGCACAATGTAATGAGAAGCGGCATTCATTGAAAAAAAACTCCATTTTAATGCAGCACCGAGTGTTTCATTTCGACATTATAAATTTATGAATCCTGTCTGCGGATGAATTTTATACCCGCAGTGATATTTCTTGAAATGACAGACCCTAAAATTCGACTTTAGACTTTTTATGTGCAATGTGGAGCGGTTTTTGAAATATCCCATAAGGCGGATGAATGGAGAGGAAAGGTGTTCCACGCTCAGCAAACAGTTATAATTCCGCGCCACGAGCCATTTCTTTATTCCTCATGCTGATCCGGCGGCATCAGGCGCAAGCTGGTCTGTTGTTATGAATAAATTTGTGTTCGAAAGCAATAATTTCCCAACGAGAGAGAGGCAGCTGGCCCTAATGATAATTGAGTCCCGTCAGGGCGAAAGAAGTCACCTCTCAGCCCAAATGCTATCTGTCTGCGCCAGCTGAAGGTATTTTTATTGTCCTCAAAGGCGCCTCGTGCCTGATAAGCTTAGCCGCCTCACCTGCTGCTGTCATATTCATATTTTAACCTCTACACGTCTTTGGCCGCATAGCTCACTTGGATGCGCTTTGGGAAATTAGTCAATTCATCACTGGTCTCTATAGGATGCGAAGTGTAATAAAAAGTTTCCTCTTCAGGAGTTTGATCCCACTTAAAAGAATTTGCCTTTGATCACTTTAATTTTTTTGATAATAAAAAATGTGTGATGTGATGAAATTGAAAAGATGAAAAAGAAAATTTCTACCTGGAATGAACCAGAAGTTTTATTTTGATTAAAATTTGATTTTAAATAAAAAAAATTATTTAAATAAAAAAAGGTAATTTATATCAATTAAATGAATTTTTTTTTAAATCATCATTTTTTCAAAGCAAATTTAGTTATAAGATCAAGAGTAATTCTTTTTTCAGGGCCCAGGAAGGAAATGATTGCCAAGGCAGCCTGGGAGACAGCCCTACACGATTCCCAGCGCTTTGAACTTTTCCCTCCACTGCAGCATCAATACGTAACAGAGTACAAGCGACAGTTCAACCCACGCCAACCACCCCTGCAGGATACGGAAATGAAGCCTTTAGTGGGCCCAAGAGGGAAAATCACATTTTGCGACTGTCACCATTGGCAGAAAACAGTTTACGTGGATGCTCCGATCGAGAGGCGATTTCGACGCAACACCAAATTCACCACCCCGATTCCAGGCAGACTTTATCGGCAGTGAATTTATATATCGTGGAGTTCAAATAAAAAAGTGATATTCATGTTTTGACAATAGATTTTCCTGGTGAATCCCTTTATTATTCTTAAAATATCATTATTGTTTTTATTTATTTGTTACACATACGTTATTCAAAAATACTCGATCAGCTACAACTACTTACAATATTCAATCAGTATTTACAGGCAGCTTACATAAGTACTTACACAACATAGCTGAGAGACACGTTTTTCCATTTTGTATTATTTCTCCATTTTAATTTTTATACAAATCATCATAATAATGAACTCGTAAAGTGAAAGATACGGTATATAATCATAATGTTGTAATTAATTAATTAATTAATAAATCCATCGTTATTATTTTAAACCTACCACGAGAGAAAAGTAGAGTCAATAAAAAAACGACAAGTTGAAGTGAAGACTCTGGATAATAATCAATAATCATATTTACAAAAAGACGCGCTCGCGTAACTCAGATATGTGACCAAGATAGGGTGCTGCAGACAGAGTGTGTGTTCATCAAAGAGAGACTGTTTGTACTGGTAACCACTGATGCTGTCGTTTCGCTGGTTGATTTGAGCATTTCCGGTCGCGAAGTGGCGCCACTTTCTACAATAATAACTGACAATAACGTGGGCCCGGGTGTCGGGCCACAACTAACAAAGTACGACTACGAACCATGTTAAATTACATAATATGTTGAAATCCAATTACATTGATCCTCAAAAAGTGGCTTCATTTCAAGAGGCATCAACTGAACGAACCGTCAAATCGCTGATTAAGTTGCTTGTGTGTAATGCTTAAAAGCGAGAACATGTTTTCATTCTCGAGTAGAGTAAAAACAATAATCTACGAACTATCCCTATCAAAAAATAATGGCGATTAGTGTTAAAAAACCGGATGTACGGCGGCACCAGTAGAGTTAAAACGTTATTATTCATTTATATATTTTGTGACGTCGGTCGATCTGGGGGCAGAGGGGGCAGAGACTAATGCTTGACTGGCTAATCACGTTCGTTTGCGCCGTCCCACGAGTGGCGCCACCGTCGCGCAACGGTCGTTTTTGACCCTGAGTGTGTGTGTGTTTCAATTTATCATGTAATATTGAAAAGAGAAGAAGACTGTTGCTACTGAATAGGGGTGTGTGATCTCTATAAAGAAGAACCGATTCTTCTTCATCTGTCGGGGGTTAAAGCTTGCGGAGGGGTTGGGGAGGTGGCGTGACGAATCACAGAAACAAAACAGGAACGGTGAGATCTACAGGTGGGCAGCAGCAGCGCCATCATCTTGTGCTCACGGCGAAGGAATAGAGTCTGACAGCACGTCCGACGGCGTTCCGTCCGAAGAGTTGACGGAGCCCGCAGGTTTGCCGGGCGGTCGGCGCTGTCGCAGCACTGAAGGGTCAAAGTTGGGATGTCTGCGTGCGTGTTTGCTGCAACAGAGAAGAAGAAAATTTAGAACTAATTGTGAACAAAAAATTTGTTTCATTTGAAAAAAAAAATGAATTAATTTAATTCACAGTCACTTGTGAATTTAATTACTCTTGTTGATAGAAGGAAAGGAGTTTTCCTGAGTTTAGAAGCGAAGTAATTTCTTTAATTAAAATTTTTATGGTTAAAATTGACAAAATGCCGCACAACATGGTGAAATTTTAAATTTACACAAATTTTTATTGATAATTTTTGCCGAAATTGAGGTGTGGAAACAAAATTTTCCTTCGCAGGTTAACGACCACTCTTTGCCTCTTATCAGACAAAATGTAACGTTCCACCTGCGGCTAATTACCAAAATTACGCGATAAGCTGGAAGACAGATTGTGGGAGAAGCTGGAAACCAACACTAATTTCCAGCCTATTTGAAGAAACATTTTTTTTTAATTAATGCTAATCAATTCAAATTACAGAGCGGAGATTTCGCAATAAACGCATGAGGTCAATTATCATTTTGATTTAGTAATTACACATATTTATCACGTTAAAACACCACAATTTCCAGCGCCGGACCGTGAGTGAGCAAGACATGCGAGCATACAGTGTAATTTTAATAATAATTAGGTTTCACAGCGCAACGCAATATCAAGAACAACAAGGTCGCATCTCCGCAGCTTTCTAAATCAGTTCGAAATGATAACATTTTTAAATTGCGATTTTTGCAAAACGACTTCTGGAATCTGTGTGAGAAAAAGGCGACGCGAAATCTAATTAAAACGCGCGAGGCCGAGGAGTATAAAAAAGCGCCGTAAGATTCCGCGAGTCAACGACTGGGCACGATCTTTTTTCTTGAGCAATGCGCACAGAGAGGGAGGCAATTAGAGAGAGGCGCTCCTCGAGTTCAAGGAAGTCCGCGCCGTTCGTTCGGAGGGGGCGAGGCCCTGAGCGAAAACGGTTGTAGGCGAGTTGTTCCGGCGGGGAGTTGTTCCTAAGAAAAACGGCGAGTTGTTCCAGGCGGGAATAATTATACAATACATGCCAATAAGTAAAAAAACACCTGGGCATGTTGTATCGGTTCTTCAAAACAAGGAAGTTGAACTTTTTTTATGAAATAAATTTATGATATAAAATGAACAATTTAGCCACGCATTTCTCAAAAATCAACGCAGTGAGGAAATTGTGTTATAAAAATTACGCTAAAAATAGTAAATCACGATAATTTTTTTTTTTAAAAATTCTGTTTGATTGGAATCTACTGTATAGTAAATAGTAAACCTCGTACAAAAACTTGAAACGTTAAAATAATAATTATTTAAACATTTTGCTTTTATGTTTCATCAAATTAGAGACTGCAGTCAAAACGTAACAGGGTAAATTTTTATAATTATTGAGATATTAAATTATACAAGTGCACTGCTTTACAAATTTTTTAATGATTACTGTTCAAACATTTTCATTAAATACAATTTTACAAAATTTGAGATTTTTTTTTATGTTTTTCTTTTATTAATTTAGAATATTAAAATGGATTTCCAAGCTCCATATTTTTTAATCACGTGAATTTTAAGACTCAGGTTTATCTCACTGGTAAAAATTATTTTAATTAACAAATTAAATTGGAAATTAATTGTATCCAAAATTTATCTGCAGGTAAAGATAACGCGTAAATATAGCCTTGGAATAATTGCCCTTGCTACTATCTTGTGATTCTCCGTTTTTAATGGAACAACTCCCCGCTGGAACAACGCACCGTGTACCAGCGAAAACCGCGAACGTGGGCGTCACGACAACAATGCACGCGGCGGACAACAATAAAATCCAACAATCACCTCAGGTGGTCGCTGCGCATGAACTTTTTGCTGCAGACAGGGCACTCAAAGTTCTTCTCGCCAGTGTGGGTCCTCGTGTGTCTCGCCAGTTCGTCCGACCTCGCGAACCTCTTGCCGCAGCCAGACCACGAGCAGGGGAATGGACGTTCGCCTGGAAACAGAAAAAGGGCGGTGGTTACAACGGAGCAATAAATGCGCGGCTAATTATAATAATTAAATTACAATGCAAATTCCACGGAAACGAGCGCAAACGAGAGAATATATGTTTTGTAAATGAGGAGAAAATCATTCTCTCGCAAGGTCATCAAAAGAAGCATTGAGCCTTTTATAGATCTTATAAAAATCCAGTTCATTGCATTGAATAGAATCCAATGAAAATGACCTTTCGAAAAATATTAAAACAAATTTATGAAGCCTGAATTTGATCAAAGATAAGGTTCAATTTTTCGCCGATTCATGATTGATGGCCAAACCAAAGTTCCCGCAAACATCACGCATGACAAATGGGCGAGATGATGAAACGTTTGGCGTTCTTTGGATCAAAATGATCGGTTAAACCCGAGATTGTGGGATCGTCTCTCGTGGGCATTGCAGGATATAAATTCTGAATAATTCCATCTTGGCGAGTTCGTGGATATTTAACTGCTTTTTATTGTTGCGCGCGGCAAATCATTATTTTGTTGTGATAGACCTTGACGGGAACAAGGCAATTATTTTTCAGCAAATTTATTCCACAGCGCGCGCAGGCCGATTGATATACATTCGCACGGCGTTCGTTCTCCAGCCGGCCAGCAGCTTTTGTTGTCTGTTTTGTTGGCGAAGCGAGAGACAGAAAACTCTTTTTGCTTTTGCTGCGGCCGCAACAGGAAATTCCTCTGCGTCAAAAAGACAAAACAAAACGCAGCACGACGGACTCGGGAAAATTATACACACACACCGAGAGAGATACTTGTTTCCAATGACAATTAAGTACAAGTGTTGCGAAATCGAATCCGCCGAGCTGTGAAACGCCGGACGGCATTTTTAAAAGGACGCGTCGAAAATTGAATGCTTCAATTGTATTCGACTGGCCTTTGATAATTTTCCACTTCCTGCGCTTTGAAACGAGCAGAAAATTCGCACTAATTCCCATTTTTTAATTCAAAAGTCATCCGGTTGAAGGGATACAAAATTTAGAATACAATATAGTTTTAAATTAATCATTAGGTAGCGCTTTTGAACAAGGAAAAATAAAGTTATTTCCTTGTAGGCGGAAAAAAATGAATAGACCCAAAGCCCTAATTGTAGGTAAGATTGGATCTGAATGCCTAATAAGTTTAAATTCAATAATTTCTAAATTAATATCTGTCAAAAAAACCTACTTCAGTAATAAAAATTTAATTAAAATATTTAATAAAAATACCACAAAATACTCCATATTATAAAACAATTTGTTTATATCAAAAGAGCTGTCAGTATAATTTTTATTAAACGCTTAATCAGCCTCGAATCTAATTGTTCAGGTTCCCATTCCCAGCGTTTAGCATCGCGTTTTTCTCTCTCTGTGGCATTTACGTGGCGAACCGGTGCACACGGCAGCAGCGAGCTGTGGCGTTTTCGCAATCATAAAATTGAACGCCCTCGTCCCGCGTCTGGATGGTGAACGACCCATCGACCGAGAGGGAAAAATCCAGCTCAGCGTCCGGAGAGGAGCGCTCGCTGGGTGTAGTTGGGCAGGTGTGCCGGTGGCCTCGAGGGAAGACAAGGCCCGTCACAGCACGGCCCCTCCACCTCGCCGTGTTTGCGTCTGCCGCGCCAAGGTCGACTGCAACGTGAGAAAGCGCAAAAACAGCTGCTCGGCGGCCACCCCCACCGCCCCCGCGAGCACCCTTGCTCAATCCGATCGATCCACTCTCGGCCCTGGGCCCGTCAGCCGGCCCAGCAACCACATTTTATCAAAATAATTAATAATATATTATTTTATAAACTTCTTCATAGACCAGGTATTTAAAGATTTTTTAATTTAATTTGGTACTAATTACTCAAATTTCTAGTAAATAATTATTTGCCGTTGGTCATTTTAAATAGATTTGATCAAAATTTTTACATTATTTTATAAACTCCTTCATAAACCAGGAATTTAAAATAAAATTTAACTTTTTCTTAATTTGGTGCTAATTACTGAAATTTACGTTAAATAATTATTTGCCATTTTAAATAAATTTCAACTAATATTGCAAGTTTCTTTAAAATTTTGGTATTAAGTTGACTTGTGGCCTTTTATTGGGCGCGTACTTCGCGTGGGAAAATTCCTTTCTCGCGCGGAGATGTAATTTTTTTCGCCATAGGAGGTTGCCCTTGTTTCAAGGGTCCGCGGCGAGAGGAGCGATGTGTGCTGGATGGATCCGTGTGTGTGGGGGCCTTGGTTTTGGCGCCACGTGCTCCGAGGGCCGCGCCCACGTCATAATATACACGTACATTTTTTTCGCGCATTGTGCCGCGCGGCGATTTCATTCTTTCATTCAATGCAAAATGTTATGTGTTGCTGGCGTTGATGTATGAAAACGCGCTTTCGAATAATGTAGTGACGATGATAATGCGCCCCATGTGTGCGTGGGCACCAACCTTTGCGCGACACTCACTCACCCACCAACTAACAAACCCAGCTCGGGTTACGTGCGAGTTTGGCGAACAATGAGATCAGTAACGAGAGAGCGACAGGTAATTTGTACGGAATCTGCCGTGCAGTCCGACTCTCTTAAGTTAGGCCGCTGGAAACTTCTCAACTCCTCCGCTTTCATTGTGATGCGTGAAGTAGTTTAAGTGCACAATAGAAAATAACATCACTTTAAAAACTTTCATATTAATTGTTTTCAAAAGTTTGAAGCCAAATATAAGCTAGATGAAGTAAGTTGTCCATAAATTAAATGATATTTATATAATTATCTATTGTTTCAACTTTTGTTTTTGCTGTAGTTTTTTTTTAATTTCTTAAAACGTTAAAATAGTTTTGTCAAGTTAACGAAATTTAAATCTATTTTGAAATAATGTACTTTCTTCATTAAACGTTGAAATTTATGAATTTAAATAATCTCCTCAATCAGTTTCAGAATTCCGCGATAAATTAATTTTTGTCTGTTTGACCAACTATTGACATTTTCTTCTCTTTGTTGTTGTTGTTGTTTTTTTTTAATATATTTTAAATTTAAACCTCAGCCCCCACCATTTACTGATGCAGGATTGATGATTAAAAGATTTTATTTTCAATTTTTTTTTTTCAATTTCAAACACGGATTTCTATAAAAATACTTTCAGAGCTAAAAATAAAATAATTAAATTCCGATTAAAAACAATTGTACAAAGAGATGATTAAACAAGTGTTTATAATTTGCAAATTATCACAAATATTCAATGCAACAACAAAAACTGAACTTGACAGCTTTTCCAATACCTCTTTTTTTACCAATTGTTTTCAAAAATATATATTTTTTTTGTCCGCCGACAATTTGTTTCCATATCTCTGGTCTTTTTTATACGATTATCGATCGTCCCGCGGGCCATTTGTAGTTGCGCGACCATAATGACAATAACTATTATTATTCTTATCACAAAACGCCGGCTGTCAAGGCAGATAGCATTCAAAGCCGCGCAAAAACCGCCAAATTATATGGCCGCGCATTTTATCGCGCACACTCGTTTTTTGTTCTCTTTTGAGGCGACAATAATAACTAGGAAAATAAGTGAAATCTCAAGATAAAAGGCGATTCGCCTTTGTGCACCGCGGAGGCCGCGAAAAGCGCGCGAGTTCGTAATGCAGCCCTGGGAACGTCCAAGGTTGTCCATTTGATGCCGGCGGGCGCTGATTTCGCCAACCAGCGAATCCTTGACCGGACACGCGAGTTTCGCCACCACCCTTGGCCGCGAGTCAAAACTTTTTTAGTTTTTATATGCATTTTTGAGATAGGTTTTGAAACGACTCCCGAATAGAAAGAAGAAGAGATTTAAATAAAAAAATTAAAAAGGAGCTTCGGCGCTTCCGGCTGCAGCTATTTCATGGCCAGGTGGGCGGGACCAGCGTCATTATGCCAAAGGTGAGCCGCGCGAGACTCATTCGATCAAAAAGCAGCGCACTGCACCCTCGGCTGAACGACCGGTGTAAAATTAGCCGGATTTCAAATTCACGGGCTGCCAGCGGCCGGCTGCACCTCGTTTGCAATCGGGACCGGCGCACTCGACATTAATTCATTGCTTGGCTGCCATGAATGACACGGTTTCGGATGCAGATCTCAACAATCTCGGGTTCACAGCACTTTGAATCTTTTTTTAGTTTACATAATTTTGGCTTGCGGTTTACATTTAGATCGCGAGACACGTTTAAAATAAAAATCTACAGCGCCAAAGTTTACAAAGTTATACTTTTGAAATAGACAAATTATGTTATTGATTGAGAATTTCAGATTATTGAATAAATTATTTATTATTGATAAAATCCGTTTAAAAAAGGTTTTACTTGTTATAATAAAATAATGTCTGCCCCATTCAGAAAAATTTGAAATTTTTATCACGAGGAAAAGAAAAAATTAAAAAAAAAAAATAATTCCTTTTTTGAATTCCAATCAATTTACATGATTAACCTAAACCGAAAACAGATAAACTAATTTTGAAATTGAATTTTAACTTTTTTAGATGTAAGTGGAAAGTTGTGTTTTCAAAAGAAATGCCATTTTTTTTATTGCATTGTGAAAATTTGTTCCAGATTTGATTCGCAAAAGATGAGAATTTGTAACTAATATATTAATTTATTTTGTACCAGGTCTCTGGAAATATGGTTACAGATCTGCCTCCTTACGCAAAACCTGATGCTCACGAGTAATTATAACAAGAGAGTCAGTCAGTTTGTTATTGACACCCGAGATAAATATTCCCTCCATCAATCAACAGCACGCCCGGGGTCTGTCTCGTAATTTGGTGATTCAATCAAAATAATAATAAACTGAACGCGTACCAGGGTGTTACACAAAATCGATCGATTCCAGCGTTCGTAACTGAGCGTTTTGACCTCAAACTTGGCAGCAGCATCGACCGGTGTGTTATTAAGGTGTATACGCGGCGAGTCAATTTTTCTCCAATATAAAAACGGACACACCCATTTTCATAGCTCAGGTATCAAAT